CTCTTGCAACTTTTTAATTCAAGCGGCGCTAGGGCGAAAAGGGACATCTTGAAAACGATCAACCGCCCTCAATCCGTGAAGCCCTTGATTTTTTTGATGAAACGAATGAATGTGCGCGGTGCTAAAGCGAAAACCATGTTTGAACATAGCCCGCCCTCAATCCGTAAAGCGCTTGCAGATTTCTACATCGAGTGCGCGCGCCGCTTAGGCGATAAGGTCATTTTGAGAACGACCCGCCCTCAATTCCTGAAGCTCCTGCAAATTTTAACGCGTGTGCGCGGCGCTCGGGCGAGAACCATCTTTTGAAAAAGACCCGCCTTCAATCCGTGAAGCTCTTGCAGTTTTCTACAGAATGTGCGCGGCGCTAAAGCGAGAGTTATCTTTTGAAAGCGGCCCGGATTCAATCCGTGAAGCTCCGTTGCAAGGCGCTTAGGCGAGAGCCACATTTTGAAAACCACCCGCCCTCAAGCCATACAGCTCTGGCAAATGTTGAAAACCAAAGTGCGTGGCGCTAAAGCGAGAGCCATCTTTTGAAGACGACCCGCCCTGAATCCGTGAAGCTCTTTCAATTGTACACAGAATGTGCGCGGCGCTAAAGCGAGAGTTACATGTTGAAAACGACCCCCCTTAATCCGTGAAGCCCCCTGACAAGTTTTTAGAACGAATGCGCGCGGCGCTTAGGCGAGAGTCACATGTTGAAAACGACCCGCCCTCAATCCGTAAAGCTCTGGCAAATCTTGAAAACGAATGTGCGCGGCGCTAGAGCGAGAGCTATATTTGGAAAACGGCCCGCCCTCAATCCGTGAAGCTCTGGCAAATTTTTACAACGAATGCGCGCGGCGCTTGGGCGAGAGGGTCATTTGAAAACGACCCGCCCTCAACCCGTGAAGCTCTTGCAGTTTTCAACACGCATGTGCGCGGCGCTCAGGCGAGATCCATCTATTGAAGACGACTCGCCCTCAATCCGTGAAGTTCTTGCAAGTCTTTAAAACGCATGTGCGCGGCGCTACGGCGAAAGCCACATTTTGAAAAACGATCCGCCCTCCATCTGTGAAGCTGTGTCCTCTTTAAAGTTCAGATGTGTGCTTTCTTAAGCTTCAGGGTCCTTCATCGTGAGGGAGTCTTAGGCGAGACTCCTGGCCCGCCCTTTCGACCAGCCTCGGTGTGCGACACGGAGGAGTTATCTAGAAGGAACAGGGCTGCAGGAAATGAGGAGGTGGAGGAGGAGGAGGAGAAGGAGGAGGAGGAGGAGGAGGAGGAGAAGGAGGGGAGGAGGAGGAGGAGGAGGAGGAGGAGGAGGGGGGGAGGAGGGGGAGTGGAGGAGGAGGAGGAAGAGGAGGAGGAGGAGGAGGAGCAGCAGGAGAAACAGTGAACAGGGACACTATGAGGGGGGATGGGGAAGAATGGGGGGCTGTCGGAGAGAGATCCGGGGTCCTCGAGCCATCGCCGTGGACGAAGGCGTCCAGCCGCTGGTACTTTTCGCCTCTCTGTGCACGTGGCCGTACGAGAGGGGAGGGAAAGAGGGGGGCGAAAGTGAGGAGGAGGAGGAGGTGGGGGAGGAGGAGGAGGAGGAGGAAAACGAGGAGGAGGAGGAGGAGGAGGAGGAGGAGGAGGAGGAGGAGGAGGGGAGGAGGAGCAAAACCAGGGGGAGGGCAGGATCACCATGAGGGGGGAGGGCGAAAGGAGGGGGACAAGGGGAGGACGGGACTCTCCACCTCCTTTTCCTCCTCCTCCTCCTCCTCCTCCATCTCCTCCTCCTCCTCATGCTTGTCTCTCTCTCGTCGTCGTCGTCGTCGTCGTCGTCGTCGTCGTCGTCGTCGTCGTCGTCGTCGTCGTCGTCGTCGTCGTCGTCGTCGTCCGCCTCCTTCATTCGCACCCCGAGGCCCATAGGAAGGGCGGCTGGGCGTTTCGCTTGAGAATGCCGTAGAATTTCTGAGCCTAAAGCTTGGAAATTGTATGCAATTTCACACATGGAGGGCGGGCCGTTTCCAAAATGTGGCTCTCGGGTTGGCGCCGCGCACATTCGTCAAACAATTACAAGAGCTTCGCGGATTGAGGGCGGGTGGTTTTCAAACTGTGTCTCTCGCCTAAGCGCCGCGCGCATTCGTTGTAAACATTTGCAACAGCTTCACCGATAGAGGGCGGGCCCTTTTCAAACTATAGCTCTCGCTTTAGCACCGCGCACATCCGTGGTAAAACATTGCAAGAATTCTAAACGCTTCGCGCATCCCCACCAGCTGTGTGCGGCTTCAGTGGCGCCACCCGGCGCACCAGCTTGGACCATCTGGGCTTTCATGGCAGTCATTGCAGTGGACTTGCTGTCCGCCACTGGTCACACCCTGGTACGGCCTCTGCGCCATTTTGGCAGCGGCCCAACTTTGGTTGGCTAATTTGCAGTGCACGCCCCTGGACTTTCAATTCACCTCCGGCAGCTTGCAGACCCCCCTGGCAGTCAATTACCCTGGCCGTCAGCACCCCCCCTGCAGCTCGTTGCACGTTTGCAGCCTCTGGCAGTGCTGCAGCCCCTCCCCCTCTCTTCGGCTACTTCCTGGTCCCTGACCCCACCAGCAACCCTGGTTGGCTAATATGGTGCACGCTTGCAGCTCCCTGGCCGCCCCAGCAGCTTGCAGTCCCCACCCCCGGCACTGCCCCGCAGCCCCGGCGCTGAGGCACCCCGGCGGTAGGTCCTGCTCTGCTCCGCGCTAAGCAATTTGGCAATTAGTCTCTCGCGCGGCCCGCTTGGAACTTCGACTCGCCGCTGTGCGCTTTCGCCTGCGGCTGCTGACTAAAAAGTATCCCCACCAGCCCATCCAGAAACGACGCCCAGGCGAGTAGAAGGCCGTCCTGAGTGGCTTTTCGGCGTCTTGGGTGCCTCGGGGGGGCCTCTTTGGGCCGCTTGGGATCCTCTTGGGGGCCTCCTGGGGGCCTCTTTGGGGCCTCTTGGGGCCATCTTGGGGCACTCTTGGGGCCTCCTGGGCGCTTCTTGGGGCCATTTTGGAGGAGATCGATCAAAGAAGAGGGGAGCTTCAATTAGGGTTGCCCCCTTCAGGAGGCCAAAATGGGGCCAAAACCCTAGTCAAATCAATGATTTTGGCTTCCTCGCCGAGGCCGTCTTGGACGCCCTGACACCTCCCCGCCCCTCCCGTCCAGGTCCGGGAGGGGGTAGGGGGAGGGGTCAAGACCCCCTCCCCGCCCGCAAGCCGTCTCGCTCACTCCCACCCGCCCTCCCAACACATACGTAACACCCGAGTCTGGCCCGAGCCTCAGCATATTCAGCAGTCGTCTTTGGATGGGCAGCTACCGGGGGCCAATCCGCCGCCGCCGCCGCCGCCGCCGCCGCCGCCGCTGCCCGCCGCCGTTGCCCGCCGCCGCCACCGCCGCCGCCGCCGCCGCCGCCGCGCCGCCGCCGCCGCCGCCGCCCGCCCGCCGCCGCCGCCGCCGCCGTCGCCGCCGCCCCCCGCTGCCAAACCGCCGCCGCCTGTATTGTTTTTTGACAGGGATGGTAGGGGGGGGGGCCGCATCGGGTTGGCTGCGCATGTTCCGAATTTGGAGGCAGAGTGTGTGTTTGCATGGTTTTTTACAAGGGATGGTGGGGGGGTGTCGTCATGGACTCGGGTTGGCCCCCAGTCGCCTGGGGGAGGGGGTGTTTATTAATAGGGAACAGTGATGAACCCCTCCCCGCAGGGGACGAGGGTGGGGTGGAAGAGGAAACGCCCTAAACCACCGACGCCCAGAGGGCTGGTGGGACTTCAAGATTTAGTGCAATTTGCTTTCGAAGTGTGGCTGTCGCCTTAGCGCCGCGTGCTTTCGTTCAAAGAATTGCCAGAACTTCGCGAACAGAGGGCGGGTCTTTTTCAATATGTGGCTCTCGCCTTAGCTCCGCGTGCATGCGTTTGAAACTGTGCAAGGGTTTCACGGGTTGATGGCGGGTGGTTTTCAAAGTATGGCCCTCGCCAAAGCGCCGCGCGCGCAATATTTGCAAGGGTTTCACCGATTGGGGGCGGGTCGTTTTCAAAATGTGGCTGTCGCCTGTACGCCGCGCGCATTCGTTTTGAACATGTGGCTCTCGCCTTGGTGCCGCGCGCATTCGTTTCAAAACTTTGCAAGGGTTTCACGGATTGAAGGCAGGCCGTTTTCGAAATATGGCTCTCGCTGTAGCGCCGCGCACATCCATCTTCAACATTTGCAGGATTTTCACGGGTCGAGGGCATGTCGTTTTCATCATGTGGCTCGCGCCTCAGCGCCGCGCGCGCTCCCCGTAAACATTCGCAAGGGTTCTGCGGATCGAGGGCCGGTCGTTTTGAACATGTTTCAATGTTGTGAAGCGTTTCAATGTGTTTTCGAGCGGTTCAAGATTGCCAGGGTGCAGCAGTTACGTTGATCCGCGGTGCGGAAGTCCCAGGAATGTTGTTCTGCCACGATTCAGGATCGTCAAGACGGCCCGTCGAGACGCATCAGTCAGGCTGGCTTGTAGCGTTGAAGTCGTCGGAATGTTGTTTTGGCATGCTTCAGGATTTTCACACGGTTGTCTCCCAACGGGGCACGTCCTTCAGTGGACGTGAGTTTTTGGATGGGGCCTATGAAAAAGGGAGCTTGGAGGGAAGGCGTATCCCAACATCGTTGATGAGTCGTGGGTTTGCATTGGTCCTCCTCCTCCTCCTCCTTCTCCCACTCCTCCTCCTCATGCTCCTCCTCCTCCTCTTCCTCCTTCTCTTCCTCCTACTCCTCCTCGTCCTCCTCCGTCTCCTCCTCCTCCTCCTTCTCCTCCTCCTGTTCCTCTTCCTCCCCATCTTCCTGTCCATTCCCCTCCTCTTCCTTCTCCTTCCTCTCCTCCTCCTCCCCCTCCTGCTTCTCATCTGCCAATTGCTTGTCCTTTTATCCCCTTTTCCTCCTCCTCCTCCTCCTCTTCCTCCTTCTCCTTCTCCTCCTCTTCCTCCTCCTCCTCCTCCTCCTCCTCCTCCTCCTCCTCCTCTTCCTTCGACGACGACGACGACGACGAGGAGTTGGCCGCCGAGCTCGCGCTTGACACCGCCGACCTGAAGGCCGCCACGGAGATCCGCGCCAAGGCCCCGCAGCCGTCCGCGAGGGGCCGGCAAGTTGCCGCCTCCGCCCCGCGGCGGCGGCGGTGGCGTCGTCGTTGTGCTCCTCGTCGTCGTCGTCGGCGGCGGCGGCGGCGGCGTCGGCGGCGGCGTGGTCGGCGGCGTCGACGGCCGCGGCGTCCGGTCGAGGACGGCGGGTCGCTCGTCCGGACTCTCTGGCGGGCGCGCTCTTTAGCGCGGTCGCGCTCCCTGCGCGCGCTCCTTCCTCGTTTTGGAGCTCCGGCGGGGCGGGGAGGGCGGCCCAGCTCGCGCGGGTCGCTCCGCTCACGCCCCAGCGCGGGTTGGCCGAGCTGGGCCGGGCCTCGGCCGAGTCCCCCAGCATCGTTTCACGGACCCCTATCCCCATCTCCATTTATGATGTTCCAGCCTATTTTAGCCCTGATCACCAGAAAGAAGTTCGAGCACCAGAAGAGCACCCAAAAGCTCAAGGGTTTTCACGCGTCGGGCCCTGGGAGGCACTGGTTCGACGCTGTTTCGACACCCTCTCGACACTTTTCCGGGTGCTCGAAACTCAAGTGCGATGGGTGCAACATAAATCTCCATCCCCAGCCCGAGCCCCACCATCCCTCCACCAAGGGCGCCCTCGAGGGCGCGAAGTTATTCGCGCTTTGCGCTTCGCGGTTCGGCTCCGATTCCTCCTCATCCTCCTCTTCTCCCCTGGGAGGCGGCGCGAGAGCGCGAAGTTATTCGCACTTCGCGCTTCGCGCAGCGCGAAGCGCGAAGTTGGAAGCCCTTGGGAATCGTCTCAAGTGCTAAAGGAAGTGCGGAAACTCGAGTGCCCTGAAGGGCGACACCCCTGGGAGCGTCTTCACGGGTCGGGCCTCGGGAGGCGGTGCTTGCTCGTTCGACACCTCGACAGCGTCTCGCCAGCGTCCTGGGTGCTCGAAATTGTTTTGGGGCTGTGGCCATTGGTTACGAGTGGAACAACATAAGGTGTGGGGAGGGGGGGACTATACTTTGCGGCATGGAATACGTTTGATGTCGAGTCTAGTCGTGGGATCCGCGAGTGGATCAGGCCAGATTGTGTTTGATGAGGCGAGGCCACGACGTGTCTCTTTGGTTTGGGGTGTCCGCTCCGGTGCCAGCCCGAGAAGTCGGCGTGGGCCTCCGAGAAATTGTTCCAGCCTTCTCTCCCGCAGGCCCAGACACCTGGCTAGGCCGAGGAGGAGGGCGGGGAGGGGGATGGGGCAGGGAAGGGCCGCTCACAAGGAGGAGGAGGAGGAAGAGGAGGAGGAGGAGGAGGAGGAGGAGGAGGAGGAGGGGGAGGAAGAGGCTGAGGAGGCGGAGCGTATTGCGGGGGGGGGGAAGGAGGGAGGAGAGAGAGGCCCGAAGCGATCACGCGCCAGAGGTGCTTCTCTCGAGATCTCGGTGCGGCGCCTTCCTGGGGCCGGCCTTTCGCCCCGAGCTGTGTCTGGACGCTCGCCGAGGCCCGGCGAGGGCCCCCAGGGGCCGAGAGCGGCAGACAGCGCCCGCTCTTTCTTTTTTTGGAAAGGGGTCCGCTCCTCCTCTTCCCTCCAAAGTCTGCGCGAGCAATAACAAAAATGGGGGGGGGTAGCGTCGGATCTCTGGGGGCCCGAAGCTCGGGCCTAGATCCAGGCGGGCACATCGGCCGCAGGCCAGGGCCAGGAACGCCACAGGAGGAGGAGGAGGAGGAGGAGGAGGAGGAGGAGGAGGAGGAGGAGGAGGAGGAGGAGGAGGACGAGGAGGAGGAGGAGGAGGAAAGGAGGAGGAGGAGGAGGGGGAGGAGGGGGAGGTGTGCGGCGCTAAGGCGAGAGCCACATTGTGAAAAGGAACCGCCCTCAATCCGTGAAGCTCCTGCAAATGTTTGAGACGAATGTGCGCGGCGCTACGGCGAGAGCCGCATTTTGAAAACGACCCGCCCTCCATCCGTGACCTGTTGCTCATGTTTAGGCTTCAGGGACACTAATGATGAGGAAGTCTCAGGCGAAACGCGCGGCCCGCCGCCTTGGGTTGCGACAGGGAAAAGTCGCTCACAAGGAAAAGGAGTGGAGTAGGGGGGAGGAGGAGGAGGGGGAGGGGGAGGAGGAGGAGGGGGAGGAGGAGGAGGAGGAGGAGGAGGAGGAGGAGGAGGAGGAGGAGGAGGAGGAGGAGGAGAGCGAGGAGGAGGAGGAGGAGTGCAAACCCAGGAGTCATCAACGATGTTGGAACAAACCCTTCCCCCAAGCTCCTTCGTCGTAGGGCCCCACACAACGGTTCATTTCCGCTGAGGGAACTGCTTCGTTGGAAGACAGCCGTTTGAAGACCTTGAAGCATGCCAAAACATTGTGCTCTGGATTCCAACGCCACGGATCAACCTGACTGTTGCGTCTTGGCGATCCTGAATCGTGCCAGAACGCCATTCCGGAGACTTCAACACGGCGAATCAACGTAATTGTCGCACCCTCATAATCCGAAGTCCTTCCAATACACCGTTTCTGGTGTGCGCGGCGCTAAGGCGAGAGCCACATTTTAAAAAAGGAGCCGCCCTCAATCCATGAAGCTCTTGCAGTTTTTTGAAACGGGAGTGCGCGGCGCTAAGGCGAGAACTATATTTTGAAAACCACCCGCCGTCAATGCGCGAAACTCTAGCACATGTTTAAGACGAATGTGCGCGGCACTAAGGCGAGAGCCACATTTTCAAAACGGCCCGCCCTCAATCCGTGAAGCTCTTGCAGTTGTTTATCGAGTGTGTGCGGCGCTATGGCGAAAGCCACATTTTGAAGACGACCCGCCCTCCATTCATGAAACTGTTACCAATTTTTAAGCTTCAGCGTCATGAATGGTGAAGAAGTCTTCGGCGAAACGCCCGGCCCGCCCTAAAAACTGGCCTCGGGGTGCGATAGGGAAAATATATTTATAAGGGGAAGGAAAGGAGGAGGAGGAAGGGGAGGAGGAGGAGGAAGGAGGAGGAGGAGGCGGAGGAGGAGTAGTAGTAGGAGGAGGAGGAGGCGGAGGAGGAGGAGGAGGAGGCGCAAGAGGAGGAGGATGAGGAAAAGGTGGAGGAGGAGGAAGAGAAGGAAGAGGAAGAAGAAGAAGAGTACGCAGACGAGAAGACTACGAGACGAAAACTAAGTCAAATTATGATATTCACAATCGTAGCAAGACTAATATCGATACTACGACTATTAACATGAAACACGCAATAAGGCGACGACATAAAAAAGGCGAAGAGAATTAACACCTCTGCGTATAGCATTACTACGAAGAAGAAGGCCACTGCTAAGACGATTGATACTAAGCACACGAAGACGACTAATACACATAACAGGGACACAATATAATTTGTTCTGGTCAGAACACGCATAACGATGTTACAACTACTACTCGGCAAATTACAGCTATTACTATCAACAATAATAGCACTTTCAGAAATTGTAGTAGTAGTACTAGTAGTAGTAGTAGTAGTAGTAGTAGTAGTAGTAGTAGTAGTAGTAGTAGTAGTAGTAGTAGTAGTAGTAGTAGTAGTAGTAGTAGTAGTAGTAGTAGTAGTAGTAGTAGTAGTAGTAGTAGTAGTAGTAGTAGTAGTAGTAGTAGTAGTAGTAGTAGTAGTAGTAGTAGTAGTAGTAGTAGTTAGTAGTAGTAGTCGTAGTGTAGTAGTAGTAGTAGTAGTAGTAGTAGTAGTAGTAGTAGTAGTAGTAGTAGTAGTAGTAGTAGTAGTAGTAGTAGTAGTAGTAGTAGCGTAGTAGTAGTAGTAGTAGTCGTAGTAGTCGTAGTAGTCGTAGCAGGTCGTAGTAGTAGTAGTAGGTAGTAGTGTTAGTAGTAGTAGTAGTAGTAGTAGTATTAGTAGTAGAAGTTAGAGTTAGTAGTTGTAAGAGTAGTAGTAGTAGTAGTTCGTAGTAGAGTAGTATAGGTAGTAGTAGTAGTAGTAGTAGTAGTCGGTGTTGATAGTCGTAGTAGTCGTCGTAGTTAGTGTAGTAGTAGTAGTAGTAGTTAGTAGTAGTCGTAGTTCCCCGTTAGTCGTGTCGTAGTCGTGTTCGTAAGTTGTAGCGTAGTCGTAGTAGTAGTAGTAGTCGTAGTCGTAGTCGTAGTAGTCGTAGTAGTCGTAGTAGTCGTAGTAGTCGTAGTAGTAGTAGTAGTAGTAGTAGTAGTAGTAGTAGTAGTAGTAGTAGTAGTAGTAGTAGTAGTAGTAGTAGTAGTAGTAGTAGTAGTAGTAGTAGTAGTAGTAGTAGTAGTAGTAGTATTAGTTAGTAGTAGTAGTAGTAGTAGTAGTAGTAGTAGTAGTAGTAGTAGTAGTAGTAGTAGTAGTAGTAGTAGTAGTAGTAGTAGTAGTAGTAGTAGTAGTAGAGTAGTAGTAGTAGTAGTAGTAGTAGGTAGGTATAGGTAGGTAGGTAGGTAGGTAGTAGTAGTAGTAGTAGTAGTAGTAGTAGTAGTAGTAGTAGTAGTAGTAGTAGTAGTAGTAGTAGTAGTAGTAGTAGTAGTAGTAGTAGTAGTAGTAGTAGTAGTAGTAGTAGTAGTAGTAGTAGTAGTAGTAGTAGTAGTAGTAGTAGTAGTAGTAGTAGTAGTAGTAGTAGTAGTAGTAGTAGTAGTAGTAGTAGTAGTAGTAGTAGTAGTAGTAGTAGTAGTAGTAGTAGTAGTAGTAGTAGTAGTAGTAGTAGTAGTAGTAGTAGTAGTAGTAGTAGTAGTAGTAGTAGTAGTAGTAGTAGTAGTAGTAGTAGTAGTAGTAGTAGTCGTAGCGTTTGAGACATATGTTTTCGTGTGAGACACATGCTTACCTCATCTGCAATACAAGCGTTGGGCATATGAACTTCGCATGCGTCTCGTATGAATACCTGGCGCGTCTCTTACCTGGAAAACCCTCGTTTCGCAGAAGGAAGCTGTACGCTTCAGTGCTGCAGACCATGCGCATGTCATTGGACAACAAGACGTTTTGTACATGCAAACCACGCGCTTCACATATGAAGGCCACGCGAACAAGCCCACCATTACAATCACCATCAAGCAGGACAATCTCTGCGACCACCAACACG